ATATAAAGTCAAGCTCGCCCAAGGAGTAGAATATGAAGGTTCTCATAGTTTAGTGCAAGAAACAAAGAGGCAAGAGGCAAGGAGGAAAATCCAACATCAAGTTCTTCTTTTCTACTTCTTGTTTTTACGTTTTGAATGAAATTAAACATTATTGAGATTAACACTGCTATGAGTGGCTAAAACCCATTGTTCTAGGGTCATGGGTGAAACATGATTGTTGATGTTTGGTGTTTAATTTATCAAAGTTGGTTTAATCATATTGGGTTGTTTATTTAATTCTGTTCTTAATTATTTTGTTGAGTAGCTAACAGTGGAATACTATCTACGAATCTATAGTTGAACTCGAAAGTGGGAACTTTGGATTGCATATAGATTTAAAAAAAGCAAGTTCTTGAACCCGGGAATCGGGGAGCGGATTCGCAATTAGGATAGACATATACCTAATTGCCTTGCTTCTTTGAAATACAGGATTTATGAATGCGTTCTTGTTGATTCTAACTCCATAGACATATAGGCGTTAGGTTAACTTGAATAGGCGAGTAAGAATTCGACAGATTCTTATGAGCAATATTAACCCTGTCAATCAACAACCCAGATAAATCAATTAGTTTTAATCCAAGAACGCAACATGATTGTTAACTGGCGCTCTCCTACTGTTTGTTACTCGAAATTGCTGGTCGTTTGGTTAATTGTTCTAGTTAAATTATTGCTTGATAGTTTAGGTAGTAAATTAGTTACATCTCTATTTTGTGATAAACCTCTTGGATAGATAATTTAAGTGAGTTTGAATTAGTCAACAGTTAATTACAAGTCTTCGTGGGAACGATACTCTACTCACTACTTTATTACTTGACGATCATGTGCACTTGCGTGAGTGCGTTTCCCCGGCAACGGCGCCAAAAACTGGGGGATACTTCATTGTATATATGTAATTGTGTCATTTGACTGCTTGATTTTGTGTTGTTTTGTGTGGTTTTGATTGTTTTGATGTTGAGTAAGAGTTCATTAGTTTAAAATAGGTAAATGGCTTGTCCCGACGACGAATCTCTTTCGGCGGGGTTCTTGAGGGACTAAGTCGATCAATCAAAAACGAAAAAATGGAAATATGAAGACTCTTCCTGATGACGGATCCTTTGGACAATTTTCTTGAGGGAAGTTAGTCTAGAAAAAAAAAAGATTTTTATTTTTTTATTTTTAGGTAGTGTAGTAACTCCCCTTTAGTTTTTCTTTGGGCCACGGTTCTTTTCCAAGGGTTTAAACTTGAACCGAGTATAGGTAGTTTTTTTTAGTTATTTTATTTTCTCTTTGATTTTTAGATTAGGTTTAATGGGATACGAGCTAGAAAATCAAAAGAGAACCTATAGCGTTGACACACCTGAACACAACAGAAACTAGAGTGTAACGCTTAGTCTTATTGGTTGAATTTCACTAAAGTGCCTTAATTTGTATGTTTGTCACTGACTTGAATACTCATAATGGAGTGTCTCGATGAGTTGATCTGGAATGAGTCATATGCCATGTCTGGTGAGGTTTTTGGTGTGGTCCATGTATTGTACTTGAGTCTAGAACTTGCCCGGTATGTGAGTCGAAGCGAAATTTTAGGTGATGCTCGGTTTGAAAAAGGATTTTAGGCTTTCTTTGACCCTTTTGAGCTTGATTGCTTACCACAAATAAAATCTATCCCTAGTTACCCCTTTTGAGCCTGTAGACTTTTATTTGGCACCCACATTACAAGCCTACACCCTTTTTGTTCTTAATTGGCATTGTTTTGATCCCTTTTCCTCTTAAAGCACTTTAATCATGAGATGAGCGCTAAAAGAAGTAATAAGGAATTAAGAGTGGGGTGGATTTTGAGTGGAACCAATGAAAGAAAGAAGGGTGCACTTCTTCTGTAAAATAATACACCACTAGCGAAATTTGGAAAAGAAAAACAAAATCTGAAAAAAAAGAGATAAGGAAAAGTGAATAAATTGTTGTCCTATTCTTGCTAGTGGGAAATACATTAAGGTAGTGCTTAAAGAGAAAGGGAACATTGTTGGGAGTGATTTTTGTTGAAAAATTGAAGTGGGGATTGAAGAAATTGCGCTTAAGTTATCATGTGATGTGTTAAAGTGCATAGGAGGGTTAGTCACTAGTCCTAAATATATCCTACCCGTCCCTTTGCCCACATTACAACCATGAAAAAGTCCTAATTGATTTTAGATCGAGCGAGCCTACATTAGTAGAGATTTACATTAAGGGCAAGCTTATGGTACCAATTGCATGCATGTGACGTCTTTTGTGAGTGTTAGCGATTTTCTTTGATATATGTGAGCATGAAATTCGAATGTGTGGATTGATTCTACTTTCTTCGCTGTGATTGTGAGGGCATGTGACTCGTGAAGGAAAAGCAAGTCTTGGCTTCTTTGTAGAGTAATTTGAGAAAGTGTGAATATTGCGTGGCACTTGAGACTCGACCTTTGAGGCTGAGATTGTTCACTACTAGGTGTAGCATATGTGAATTGTTCTGGGTGTAATGCGTTAAGGGAAATTGTTGAGTGGAACCTCTAGAGAGTATAGTTTGATTGCTCGAGGACGAGCAATGAATTAAGTGTGGGGTGTTGATAATAGGCTAAGTCTAGGTGATTTGGCGATTGTTTATGCTCCCGCTTGATTATGTTTCAATGTCATAATATGGTTAAATGATGAAAAATGGGCTCTAATTGTGAATTTTACACATTGCAGGATGGTGAGCCTATATGATGCCTTAAAGTTGTGATTGGAGTTGCATTGGAGCAAGAAAGACCCCTCGGAGCTGAGTGCGCGCAAAGACGAGACAACAAAGTGAAGAAAAAATGGCCTGAACTAGCGCGAAGCCTAGCGCGAGGTCTAGCGCGTTCGCGCTATTCGGAAGCGGGAGGCTGAATGTCAGGGAATTAGCGCGAACTTTAGCGCGAACATTAGCTCGTTCGCGCTAGTCCCAGTTCCGGAAAGGGTCTGTTAGGGGCAAAAATCGGAAATCTGGAGGAATTTTCACTTAACCTATATAAAGTCAAGCTCGCCCAAGGAGTAGAATATGAAGGTTTTCATAGTTTAGTGCAAGAAACAAAGAGGCAATAGGCAAGGAGGAAAATCCAACATCAAGTTCTTCTTTTCTTCTTCTTGTTTCTACGTTTTGAATGAAATTAAACATTATTGAGATGAACACTGCTATGAGTGGCTAAAACCCATTGTTCTAGGGTCATGGGTGAAACATGATTGTTGATGTTTAGTGTTTAATTTAACAAAGTTGGTTTAATCATATTGGGTTGTTTATTTAATTCTGTTCTTAATTATTTTGCTGAGTAGCTAACAGTGGAATACTATCTACGAATCTATAGTTGAACTCGAAAGTGGGAACTTTGGATTGCATATAGAATTAAATAGAGCAAGTTCTTGAACCCGGGCATCGGGGAACGGATTCGCAATTAGGATAGACATATACCTAATTGCCTTGCTTGTTTGAAATACAGGATTTATGAATGCGTTCTTGTTGATTCTAACTCCATAGACATATAGGCGTTAGGTTAACTTGAATAGGCGAGTAAGAATTCGACAGATTCTTATGAGCAATATTAACCCTGTCAATCAACAACCCAGATAAATCAATTAGTTATTTTAAGCCAAGACCGCAACATGATTGTTAACTAGCCCGTGACCCTGGAATATTATCCTCTACTGATTTTCATTCGAAATTGCTATTTGTTTGGTTGATTATTTTAGTTAGTTTATTAATTGATATTTTAAGGTAGTAAATTAAAGACGAATATCTTTTAGTGAAAAATCTCTTGGATCGATAAGTTAATTGAGTTTAAATCAGTCAATAGTTAATCACAAGTCTTCGTGGGTAACAATACTCTACTCACNATTTTAAGCCAAGACCGCAACATGATTGTTAACTAGCCCGTGACCCTGGAATATCCTTTCCTACTGTTTGTTACTCGAAATTGCTGGTTGTTTGGTTAATTGTTCTAGTTAAATTATTGCTTGATAGTTTAGGTAGTAAATTAGTTACATCTCTATTTTGTGATAAACCTCTTGGATAGATAAGTTAAGTGAGTTTGAATTAGTCAACAGTTAATCACAAGTCTTCGTGGGAACGATACTCTACTCACTACTTGATTACTTGACGATCACGTGCACTTGCGTGAGTGCGTTTGGCCGCAACAAGTTTTTGGCGCCGTTGCCGGGGACTTAGAAATTAGCTACTTGACTGAATTGAGCTTTTATTATTTATTTATTCAAGTTTTAATTTTTAGTTCACTTTGTTTGTGCTAATACAGGATTTTCTCTTGAATGCGAAGAAGTAGAAGCGCAAACAACCTCCTTCCTCTTGATCCCGAAATTGAACGAACACTTCACAGAGTGAGGAGGGAGGTGGATGCTAGAACCAGAATTGAAAGAGAGTTGGACATCGTAGTTCAACCACAACCAATTGAGATGGCAGGTAATGAGGAACGCGCGGTGATTGAAGCCGCATGGCCCAGTCTGGCTAATATGACTCAGGCTATTGTGAAGCCTGATATCACTGGGCACTTTGAACTCAAACAATACATGGTGCAGCTGATCAGTCCACAGGGCAATTTGTGGGTTTACCTCAGGAAGACCCACAGAGGCACATTCAGAATTTCCTGGAAATTACGGATACTTATAATTATCCGAACGTTTCCAAGGACTATGTCAGGCTGACACTTTTCCCCTTTTCACCGATCGGGGAAGCTAAGGAGTGGTTGAATAAGGAGCCAGCGAATTCAATCCGCACTTGGGATGATCTGGCACCGAAATTCTTAATCAAGTTTTTCCCCACTAAGAAAACAAAGATATTGAGGAGTTAAATTCTTGGGTTCGAACAACGAGCTGGCGAGACACTTCGTCAAGCATAGGAAAGGTACAAGAAGATGCTCAGAGACTGTCCACATCATTGTCAGACGGACGAGGTATTGGGTCACACTTTTGTATATGGGTTAGATGATGCATCAAAGATGAATCTTGATTCAGCTTGTGGGGGTAGTTGCATGGCCAAACCGTACAGTGCAGCTAATGATCATAATTGGCAAGGTGAGGGTGATTCGCAAAAGGCAATTAAGCCGAAATCAGCTGGAGTACTTGAGCTCAACGACTTGACTGCCATGAGAGCCGATATTGCAAAGTTGGCTAATCAGATGACAAGGATGACAATGCAGCAACCACAACCAATGCAACATGTACAACAAATGGCTATTTGCTGCGAATTATGTGGTGACAATCATATGAGCGACATGTGCCCTACAAATCCTGAATCCATATACTATGTGGGGCAGCAGAACAGAGGTCCACCGAATCAGCATGCACAATATGGGAATTCTTACAATCCAAATTGGAGGAATCATCCCAACTTCTCATCGGGTGGAAATCAGCAGAATCAGAATAACTATAGACCCCAAGGGAATTTCAATCCACCTCAGAAGCCACCCCAACAAATGGAAGAGAGTACAAATGATTTGCTAAAGAAGTTGTTGATTGACAATCAGCAGCTCAGAACCGATTTCAGAAATCTTGAAAGGCAGATTGGGCAGTTGGCAACGAATCAGATCACCAGACCTGCAAGCGCTCTCCCCAGTGATACAGATAAGAATCCTCAAGTGAATGCAGTTACACTCAGAAACGGGAGAGAGCTGGAGGAAGTGCCAAAGAAAAGAAAAGACAAAGCCACACCAGAGGGGGAGTTGATACCGAAGGAAACTCATGAATCAAAGAATACTAATGCAATTCCAGAGCAAGTGGAGGATACAAGGCCACCACCATCTTTCCCCCAGAGATTGCAGAAAAAGAATTATGATCGTATGTTCAGCAAATTTCTCTCCATGTTGAGCCAGGTTCAATTAAATATTCCACTTGTTGATGTACTGCGTGAAATTCCAAAGTATGCTAAGTACATAAAGGATATAGTGGCTCACAAGAGAAGATTGAATGAATTTGAGACAGTGGCACTTACTGAGGAGTGCACCTCAAGGGTCCAGAACAAGCTTCCTCAAAAGCATAAGGATCCTGACAGTTTCACCATTCCGGTGCGTATTGGTAATATTGATGTGGGTCGTGCTCTTTGCGATTTGGGGGCGAGTATAAATCTGATGCCCTTATCTTTGTTCAATCAATTGGTCCTGGGAGCTCCAAGGCTAACTACTGTGATGTTGCAGCTTGCTGAATGATCTATAGTACACCCCGAGGGTGTGATTGAAGACGCGTTGCTGCAAATTGGAAAATTTATCTTCCCAGCTGACTTCAATATCCTGGATTATGAGGCTGACGAACTGGTCCCAATCATATTGGGGCGACCTCTCTTGGCTACTGGTGATGCAATCATTAAAGTGAGAGAGGGAAAAATGATTTTGAGGGTGGATGATGAGGAAGCAGTCTTTAATGTGTACAAAGCAATCCAACTCCCCCTCCATTATGAGGAGCTCTCAATGATATCCGTTGTTGAGGTTGATGAGCAAATTCTTGACACGAGTGTATATCTAGACGACTCTGTAGAGAAAGCACTTATGTTGTTTGATAGCCTGGGGAGTGATGATGAGGTTGAGGAGATGATGCACATCTTAGATACATCTTGTGCGTACATGCAAGGGATACACCCCTTTGAGCCTTTGAATAGGCCAGAAGGACCTCCTCTAAAGCTGTCCATTGAGGAAGCCCCAAAACTGGAGCTTAAACCTCTCCCACCTCACCTTCAATATGCTTATTTGGGTGACTTTGACACTTTACCTGTTATTGTTTCTTCTGACTTGTCTAAATTGCAGGAAGAGAAGCTGTTGAGAGTGCTACGTGAGCACAAGCGAGCACTTGGGTGGACGATGTCTGACATTAAGGGCATTAGTCCAGCCTTTTGCATGCACAAAATCCTCATGGAGGATGGACACAAGCCCAGTGTAGAGAAACAACGCCGACTAAATCCAATCATGAAAGAGGTGGTAAGAAAAGAAGTGATTAAGTGGCGTGATGCAGGTATTGTATTTCCTATCTCAGACAGCAAATGGGTAAGCCCCGTTCAATGTGTACCCAAGAAAGGGGGGATGACTGTGGTGGTTAATGAAAATAATGATTTGATCCCCACAAGAACTGTCACTAGGTGGAGGATTTGCATCGATTATAGAAAATTGAATAATGCCACCCGAAAGGACCACTTCCCTCTCCCCTTTATTGACCAAATGCTTGATAGATTAGCTGGCCAGGAATACTACTGTTTCCTAGATGGTTACTCCGGGTATAATCAGATTGCTATAGCCCCAGAGGACCAAGAGAAAACCATATTTACGTGTCCATATGGCACGTATGCGTTCAAGAGAATGCCCTTTGGTCTCTGTAATGCACCTGCGACTTTTCAAAGGTGTATGATGGCTATTTTTACTGATATGGTTGAAAGATTTGTAGAAGTGTTCATGGATGATTTTTCTGTGTTTGGGTGCTCTTTCGATAACTGCTTAATGAATCTCGATAAAGTGCTGGCTAGATGTGAAGAGACAAACCTGGTGCTAAACTGGGAAAAGTGCCACTTCATGGTACGTGAAGGTATAGTATTGGGGCACCAGGTGTCTAAAAATGGTTTGCAGGTGGACAAAGCAAAGGTGGAAGCAATTGAAAAATTGCCCCCACCAACGTCCGTCAAAGGCATTCGCAGTTTCTTGGGCCATGCAGGTTTTTATCGTCGTTTCATTAAAGATTTTTCGAAAATTTCCTCTCCCTTGTGCAGGTTGCTTGAGAAAGATGTTCCTTCAAGTTCGATGATGCCTGTCTGAAAGCATTTGAGGAGCTGAAGGGAAGGCTAGTGACTGCACCAATTATCATTGCCCCGGATTGGGAGCAACCCTTTGAGTTGATGTGTGATGCGAGTGACATAGCTATTGGAGCTGTTTTGGGGCAAAGGAGAAATAAAATCTTTCACTCCATCTACTATGCGAGCAAAACTCTGAATCCAGCCCAGATGAATTACACAGTTACTGAAAAAGAGTTGCTTGCAGTGGTGTGGGCGTTTGACAAGTTCATATCATATTTAGTGGGGACCAAAGTCATCGTCTACACAGATCATTCAGCTATCCGATGCTTGTTTGAGAAGAAAGACGCCAAGCCGAGACTAATTGTTGGGTCCTTCTCTTGCAAGAGTTTGACTTAGAAATCCGAGACCGAAAAGGAACAGAGNTTTACCCTCACTCGTCTTACTTTACTAAATTTTAAGCCATGGGGACATGTCTTCATTCTTAAGTGTGGGGTGGGGGGGTACTTCATTGTATGTCTGTAGTTGTATCAATTGAATGTTCGTTTTGTTTCACTTAGCTTTGATAGTTTTGTTGATGTTGAGTAGGAATCATTAGTTTAAAGTAGATAATGGCTCGTCCCGACGATGGATCCCTTTCGGCGGGGTTCTTGAGGGACTGAGTCGAAAAAAGAAAAAAAAATGGAAAATATGTAGATTCTTCCTGATGACGGATCCTTTAGACAATTTTCTTGAGGGAAGTTAGTCAAGAGAAAACACCAAAAAGATTTTTTATTTTTCAGGTAGTGTAGCAACTCCCCCTTGATTTTTCTTTGGACCACGGTTCTTTTCCAAGGGTTTAACTTGAACCGGTTTTATTTTGTTTTCATTTTGATTTGTAGATTAGGTCTACTGGGCTACCAGCTAGAGAATCAAAAGAGAACCCATAGCGTTGACACACCTGAACACAATAGACCCTAGAGTGTAACGCTTAGCTTATGTGTTGAATCTCACTAAAGTGCCTTAATCTGTATATTTGTTACTGAATTGAATGCTCGTAATGGAGCGTCTTGATGAGCTGATCTGGAATGAGTCATATGCCATGTGTGGTGAAGTTTTTGTGTAGTCCATGTATTGTACTAGAGTCTAGAACTTGCCCGGTATGTGAGTTGAAGCGAAATTTGAGGTGATGCTCGGTTTGAAAAATGATTTTAGGCTTTCTTTGATCTTTTTGAGCTTAATTGCTTATCACAAATAAAATGTATCCCTAGTTAACCCTTTTTGAGCCTATAGACTTTTGTTTGGCACCTGCATTACAAGCCTATACCCTTTTTGTTCTTAATTGACATTGTTTTGATCCTTTTACCTCTTAAAGCACTTTAATTGTGAGATGAGCGCTAAAAGAAGTAAGAAGGAACTAAGTGTGGGGTGGCTTTTGAGTGGAACCAATGAAAAGAAGAAAGGTGCACTTGTTTTGTAAACTAATACACCACTAGTGGAAATTGAAAAAAAAAAATTATAGAAGAAAGAGATGAAAAATTGTTGTCTTGTTCCAGCTAGTGGGTATGAATTAATATAGTGCTTAAAGAAGAAGGGAGCATTTTTGGGGTGATTTGTTTGTGAAAGTGAAGTGGATTGAAGAAAGTGCGCTTAAAGTTGATTATGTGAGGTGTTAAAGTGCTTAGGAGGGTTAGTCACTATTCCTAAATATATCCTACCTGTCCCTTAGCCCACATTACAACCATGAAAAAGGTCCTAATTGATTTTAGATCGAGTGAGCCTACATTAGTAGAGATTTACATTAAGGGCAAGCTTATGGTACCAAGTGCATGCATGTGACTTCTTTTGTGAGGGTGAGCGATTTTCTTTGATATATGTGAGCATGAGATTCAAATGTATGGATTGAATTTATTGTCTTTACTGTGATTGTGAGGGCCTGTGATTCGTGAAGGAAAAGCAAGTCTTGACTTCTGTGTAGAGTACTTTGAGAAAGTATGAATATTGCATGGCACTTGAGAGTCGACTTTTGAGGCTAGGATTGTTCACTGCTAGGCGTAACATATGTAAATTGTTCTAGGTGTAATACGTTAGGGGAAATGGTTGAGTAAAGGAACCTCTAGAAAGTATAGTGTGATTGCTCAAGGACTAGCAATGAATTAAGTGTGGGGTGTTGATAATAGGCTGAATCTAGGTAATTTGGCGATTGTTTATGCTCCCGCTTGATTATGTTTCAATGTCATAATATGGTTAATTGATAAAAAATGGGCTCTAATTGTCATTTGTACATATTGCAGGACGAGGAGCCTATGTGATGCCTTAAAGAGATGATTGGAACTATTTTTAGAGCAAGAACGACCCCTCGGAGTTGAGTACGCACGAAGACGAGGAAAAGAATCAAGGAATTAAGGACCTGGGCTAGCGCACCCAGATGCGCGCCCGCGCTACTTTTAGCGCTCCTAAAAACAGAAGGTTGTCCAACTAGCGCGGTCAGGTGCGCGACCGCGCTAGTCCAAAATCCGGAAAGACTCGTTTAGGGGTATAATTGAAAATCTGGAGGAAATCCCACTTAACCTATATAAAGTCAAGCTCGCCCAAGGATTATTTATGAAGGTTTTCATAGTCTAGTGCAAGAAATAGAGAGGCAAGAGGCAAGGAGGAGATTTGATCATCAAGTTCTTCTTTTCTTCCCTTTGTTTTTGCTATTTGTGATGAAATTGAACCTTATTGTGATGAACACTAGTATGAGTGGCTAAAACCCATTATTCTAGGGTCATGGGTGAAACATGAATGTTGTTGTTTGAAGTTTAATTAGACAAAGTTGGTTTATCATATTGGGTTATTTATTTAATTCTACTTTTAATTATTTTGCTGAGTAGTTAACAGTGAAATACTATCTACGAATCTTCAGTTGAACTCGAAAGTGGGAACTTTAGATTGCATATAGAATTAAATAGAGCAAGTTCTTGAACCCGGACATCGGGGAACGGATTAGCAATTGAGATAGACATATATCCAATTGCCTTGCTTGGTTGAAATACAGGAATTGTAAATGCATTCTTGTTAATCTTAATTCCATAGACATATAGGCATTGAGTTAACTTGAATAGGCGAGTAAGAACTCGACAGATTCTTATGAGCAATATTAACCCTGTCAATCAACAATCCAGATAAATCAATTAGTCATTTTAAGCCAAGAACACAACACGATTGTCAGTTAGCCTGTGACCCTGGAATATTCTCACCTATTGATTGTTATTTGAAATTGCTGGTTGTTTGGTTAATTGTTCTAGTTAAATTATTGCTTGATAGTTTAGGTAGTAAATTAGTTACATCTCCATTTTGTGAAAAAAACCTCTTGGATAGATAAGTTAATTGAGTTTGAATCAGTCAACAGTTAATCACAAGTCTTCGTGGGAACGATACTCTACTCACTACTTTATTACTTGACGATCACGTGCA